TTTCCAGGAAAATTTTGTAAAGGTTCAGCGTTTCGCCCGACCACTGGCTTCATCAGGAACATACAAAATTAATGTAAGGTCTAGATTCTAATGGCCACACTAGCTATAGTAACCAAAGTGTGCGCATCTACGTCACAGTGCCAATAAGTGCGATAAACACAAATCGGAAAGACCAGAGAAAGGGGAATGCTATAGCAAGAAGTGGTATGGGTATAATTATAATATATTATGTATAATAATATGTACCGCTATTATTTATTATTATTATTATTAATGTAAAGGTAAAAATTATCCGTTCTGGTCTCTTGACGCACTTCTGCGACAGGCCTGAGAAGTCCGTTGCAGTCACTCTCCTGGCTGGGTGACCAGATAGGTTTTTTTGTACTGCTGGCTGTGTGACTACAAAATGTTAAAGGATCACGGATAGTTCAGAACTTTCATGTTTTGTTTGTTTAAATAAAAGCATTACGCCATGTGCAACATAATTAGTGCACAGAAGTGCCAAGGGTGATAGAAGAGGAGAGACGAGCACAAAAAAAGGAGTTAGTTTAGTAAGAGTTTTACAGCACTAGCGACACAATCAGGTCATAGAAGTGCCGAAGAATAGATGTGTTACAAGAGAGTAACATACACAAAAAAGAAAGAGGAGGAATAAGGACGACAGACGTTTGATAGGAAAGAAGAAGCAAACCACACCAGAGCACCCGCCAACCACCCACTGCAAGATACTCATTCGGGCGCATAGAACATTTTAAAATTATTATATTTATTAGCCCTTTACCATTCATTCTTTTTTTTAAAAAGAAACAGAAAACATACCAGTTTCAAGTCCAGGAATGCGGGTGGTGTTGAACTGGCGCTCGTACTGGGCGGAGCACAGGGGTACCACATGGTTTATGAGAATCTGAGGGAAGACAAAATACAAGACACTAGTACAGAGTTATGAGCTTCCCATAGTGGCGTCGGTGGCCTTCGGCTGCTCGCACTGTATGCTTCCCAGGAAGCTGAGAATGTTTCGGGGTGTTCTATGGTCTGCTGGGGTAATAATATAGTGTAAAGCGCATAGAGCCTGCTGTTGAGCGGGGATATCCGCTATACAAATGCTATTAATTTTTTTATTATTATTTCCTCAGTGTAAAATGGGGAAACAACAGTTCATGTATTTCCTTATATTATGTTCCTTTGGTTTTGTTTTCTTTTGTCTTTATTCTCATAGCCT